TTATAATTAGTCCATTGCTTACTTTTCACTTGAATTAAGACTAGAATAGAGAAACAAAACATATACCACAGTCCAATTTCACTTTAAGGTGGGTAGGTCATTTTGGAGAAACCAGCTGGCTAGAATTTGAAAATACACAACCGGACAAAATCTGCCACTTCCTTTCAGAGCCCCTCCTCTAACACACACGAACGCACACATGACCAATGAGGGCACGAGGTAAGTTTGTGCACAGATGGAAGGCTGACAGGCAGGTAGGCCATCCAGTTACTTTAGCCGGGCCGGCTCAGATGATTGGTCGTGCTTTTTACAGCGCCACGGCTTCCACAGATGATATATTTTAATGGATTTTGTGTCAAAGCACTTCAGATATTCATTGCTATCGGGATGTTAAGAGCATTCCATGGAATCTAACAACAAGTGTATCTCAAGCCGGTTTCTCAAACTTACCTACCCTACCTTTAATGTGTGCATATGTATAAATGTGTCTTTTGCTTGTGTATATAGGTATATACATATTTGCATACATATTTTTAAATATATTGGTTTTTGTATTCGGGATTGTGGGAAACGGTATTTCGATCTCTCTGTCTGTGCACACAAACTGAAAGTTCGACAATAAAGTTGACTTTGACTTGAATTCGCTTATTGCTTTTCTGTTTCCAGCGTCACACAGATGCATGCTGCGTTTAAGTGTTTTTCAAAGACTTGGACATCTACATACAGTATGCGTAAAAAGTGAGAACATACATCACTCTGAATCTCCATCATGTTGCGGCAGCGCTGCACGTTCAAGTTGTCGGGCAGGAGCAAGTAGCCGTTAGGGATCTTCCTGTATCCGGTGAAGGTCTGAACCTTTGAAGCATGCTTGGCCTGGGTCAAACTCATCATGTCCACTGGGGAGTGATACTTCAGCTTGGCCTTGTGGTAGTCCTTCTTGTAGTTCTTCTCACTCTGCATCTTAGCCACCTTCATGTAGTGGACCAGCAGGGGATCGTCCTCGATGCTGCGGAAACCAACATGGTGGCCCTTTGCCTTCTCATAAGCCAGCTTGTACTTGTACTGTAAAACAAAAAGACGACCGTTAGGTACGAAAAGCATTATCGGATTCGGTAACGATTCAGACGTTTCATTATCGGCATGCTACTTACATCACTGGCGATTTTAGTGGACTGTTTTGCTGCAATAACGGAAATGGCATCTTGCTTCACGTGATGTCCTTTGAGCAGATCTTGGCGATGAGCATGGGTGTAGCAATTCTAAATAAATGAATGAATGAAGTGTTATATCACAGGATAAAAAAGTCATTTCTAGATATATTTTACACATGCACAAATGCTGGAAAATACTAAATAAGAATGTGCGAGTCACCTTGCTGATGTTGACAGCATTGTATCTGGCTTGCATCAGTTCAGGGACGTCAGCAGGGAGATGGTAAGTGTGCACAAACTTCTCTCCACTGGCCTTATACTCTTTCTGCAAAAAGACAACAAAGACATCGGTTTGTCTGTTATTAAAGGGAATGGAAAGACTGAAACCATGTGATTTGCTTTCTAGCAAGACAAGAAGTTATTGTTTTTGCTCCTTCTCACCATGTTCATGATCTTGGTGTTGGACTTGGCCAGCATCATGTTCATGGAGTCGCTGAGACTGGAGAACTTGAAGGTGTCCGGGTTCTGGCGGTACTTTGACTCATTGATCGCTGCTCCTGCCACCTTAGCTCTTTCCACGTCCACAGAACCAATGGGAATCCAGCCGCTTCCCTTCACTGAAGTCTCATAGTCCATTTTATAGTTAACCTGGAAAGTAATAAGACATGGGAATAATGCAAAATATCTGACCTGAGAAAGACCAACTTTGAGCCAGGAGACTAACTATTTATCCTTACAGTATGTGTTGCTATTACATGTTGGAAAGGTTACTTTAAAAGTTATATATCACTATTTCACATACTTCAAAGTAATGTAACTGATCAAATGTGATCCCTTTATTCTGTTAAATGTTTTAAACTGGGCAATGAAGTGGATAAGTAAAACATTTGTTACTTTAACCAAACCTTTATAATTAGTCCATTGCTTACTTTTCACTTGAATTAAGACTAAAATAGTGAAACAAAACATATGCCATTTGTCCAATTTCACTATTAAAGGTGGGGTAGGTCATTTTGGAGAAACCAGCTGGCTAGAATTTGAAAATACACAACCGGAAAAAATCTGCCACTTCCTTACAGAGCCCCTCCTCCAGCACACACGAAGGCACACATGATCAATGAGGGCACGAGATAAGTTTGTGCACAGATGGAAGGCTGACAGGCAGGTAGGCCATCCAGTTACTTTAGCCGGGCCGGCTCAGATGATTGGTCGTGCTTTTTACAGCGCCACGGCTTCCACAGATGATATATTTTAATGGATTTTGTGTCAAAGCACTTCAGATATTCATTGCTATCGGGATGTTAAGAGCATTCCATGGAATCTAACAAAAAGTGTATCTCGAGCCGGTTTCTCAAACTTACCTACCCCACCTTTTAATGCGTGCATATGTATAAATGTGTCTTTTGCTTGTGTATATAGGTATATACATATTTGCATACATAATTTTAAATATATTGGTTTTTGTATTCGGGATTGTGGGAAACGGTATTTCGATCTCTCTGTCTGTGCACACAAACTGAAAGTTCGACAATAAAGTTGACTTTGACT